GAAGTTTTCAACAATTATTTCTTCAAAGACACTTTCTGTCCCTTTTTCTCTCTCTTGTTCTTCTGGTACCCCTATTATGCAAATATTGTTCCATTTGGATTGGTCACACAGTTCTCTTAATGTTATTTCATCCCTAGAGATCCTTTTATCTCTCTCTGCCTTAGCTTCTCTGTATTCCTGTTCTCTAATTTCTGTTCCGTTAACAGTCTCTTGCACCTCATCCAGTCTGCTCTTAAGTCCTTCCATTGCTTGTTTCATTTCTGTTATTTACCTCTGGACTTCATCCCTTAGCTCTGCATATTTCTCTGCAGCTCCATCAGCATGGTTATGACTTTTATTTTGAATTCTTTTTCAGGACGATTGGTTATATCTGTCTCACCAGGCCCTTTCTCTGGTATTTAGTTATTTTGGACTGGACCAGGTTCTTCTGCATTTTCATGGTGATAGAAGTGATCACCAGTGAGTGGCACATATGTCAGCTGGTAATACAAAGTCTCTTCCTGCTTGCTAGTCACCTTGCCCTTCTCCGCTGCCCGTGCTAGTTACCCACACACAGGGAGGAGTGTCTGGGTTAGTCCCCTGAGCTGCCATGGGTGGGGCAGCTCTCAGGATAGCCTAGGACACTGCTTGGTTCACATATGCACCCGGTGTGTTCTCCTGTGAGAATGGCACCCCTCTGTGCCTTCTGGACATTGTGCTGGCTTCCTCTGCCTGTGCCGGGCAGCTGCACACAGGGGGCAGCCTCTGGGTCTGGCTGGTTAGCTGCATGCTGGGAGAAGACTCTGTGTGATTGCTGTGGGCAGGGCTGCTCCTTGGCTGTTCCCCGGCAATGGTGGGTCAACTGGTCCACTTGCAGTGCTGGTGGGGGGAATGCATGGCAGGCTGCTTATCTCCGTGAGGGGCTTCGGAGCTGCGTTGACACCCAGGGTGTTAGGGCACCTGAAGTTCCTTAAAATTCCCAGCCTGCTGGGCTGAGTGTGCCAGGACGTATTTGTCCACCTGTTAAGCCCTTGTCCCTTTAATACTTTTAAAACTCCCTCTTTTCTTTTGTCCCAGGGGAGCCAGCTGTGGGGACCCGTTCACAGTCACCATCTCGGATTTTACTTTTCCGTTAAATATCCAATACACACAATGTGTGTCTGTGTTCCCAGTGTAGATTACTAGGGCTAGTTATTTAGCAGTCCTGTGCTTCCACTTCCTCCCCATCTGATTCTTTTCCTCCCACCTGTGAGCCGGGGTAGGGGGACTGCTCGGATCATGGCTTTGTATCTGACCCTTTTCGTGGGTTCTTGCAGATGTAGATGTAGCCTGGCTATTGTATTGTATCTTCCGGTCTGTCTTTTAGGAATAGTTGTATTTTATATATCAATGATATTGTATATCAAAATATATATTGTCTTGGAAGGAGATTTCCGCCCCCCTACTGACACCGCCATCTTGAGTACTTCCCTGGTGTTGTCAGTTTTGGAATTCTAATAGGTGTACAGTATTATCCAAGTATATTTAAATCTGTGTTTTCCTAATGACAGATAATATTATGCATCTTTTCATACACTTTTTTTTTTGCCATCCATATATCTTTTTTTTGCCATCCATATCTTTTGTTAACACCCCCCATTTTTAGTTGAGTTATGTTCTCATTATTGAATTTTGAGAATTCTTTACATATCTTAAATATAAGCCCTTTGTAAGAATATTAGTTACATATACCTTCTCTCAGTCTGTGGATTATCTTCTCACTTTTTTAACAATATCTTTAGCAGAGCAGAAGTTTTTGATTTTGATGAAGTTGAAATTACCCATTTTCAAAGTGAATCACACTTATGTGTTTTTTTTGTATTTGGGAAAATGAAATATTATCAAAATATTCTCTTAATATTTTGCAGTACCATGCAACTATAGATTCAGTGCAACCCCTATCACAACTCCAATGGTATTTTTCATAAAAAAAGAAAAAAAATCCTAAAACTTATATGGAGCCACAAAGTTTCCAAATAACCAAACCAATCTTGAGAAAGAAGAACAAATCTGGAAGCATCATGCTTCCTGTTTCAAACTATATTACAAGCTATAGTAATCAAAACAGTATGGTATTGGCCTAAAAACATATATAGGTGACTAACACAGAATTGACAGGCCAGAACTAAACCCACATGTGGTCAACTAAAATCTGACAAAGGAGTCAAGACCACACCATGGGGAAAGGACAGTCTCTTGAATATATGGTTTTGGAAAAACTAGATAGCCACATGCAAAAAGATGAAATTTGACCCTTATAAACATATCACATATAAAAATCAACCCAAAATGGTTTAAAGACTTAAATGTCAGACCTGAAGCTGTAAAACTACTAAAATAAAACGGGGAAAAACCTTTTGGCATTGGTCTTAGTAATGACTTTTTGGTCATGACACCAAAAAAATAAACTCAACAAAAACAAAAATAGACAAATGGGATTGCATCAAACTTCTGCACAGCAAAGGGAACAATCACCAGCATAAAAAGCAACCTACAGAATGGGAGAAAATACTTGTAAACCATATACTTAATAAATTAATATTTTTTAAATAAAGGACTAGCAAAATAATTTTAAATAATTTTAACCCAATTTAAAAATGGACAAAGTACCTGAAGACATTTTCCCAAAGACATACAAATGGCCAGCATGTACATGAAAACGTGCTAAACATCACTAATAATCAGGGAAATGCAAATCAAAAGAATAGTGATAGTTTACCTCACAAATGTTAGAGTGGCTATTATCAAAAAGACAAAAGTTATTAAGAGGCAAGATAGAAAGGAATTCTTGTGCGCTGTTTGTGGAAATGTAAATTTGTACAGCCATTATGGAAAACAGTATGGAAGTCTCTCAAAAAATTAAAAATATAACTACCACATGATGCAGAGTTTCAAATTTTAAAAATTGATCATTTGAGCTAATCCAAATTTATTGTTAAGATGAATGCAATAAAAATACTTGGTTTAGTGGCTTTTATTTATACATGTGACTCTAGCAATTGCCTGTAAAAATAATTAATGTAGCATAGTACCAAAATCTAAATTCTTCTTAAAAATAAGTGCCAGAGCACTTCGAAGGTTCTTACTATTTTGCTACCCAAAACTTCCACCTTATAAGTTTTTCTCCTGTCAATTACTTTTCTAGGTGATTTTACAACATGTTTCTAAGGGTTGATAAATAATATGAATTTGTAAATTTTTTGGCAGGGTAAATGAATGCTGCCTGAAAGTTAAGTTTTGTATAGAATAGGAAGTAAAGGGCAAAATATGACTTGAAAAATAATCGAGATTTTGTATCATTCTAAAATAAGTTAGCCATCAGTGCTCCTGTAGGTTAGTATTTGGCTTGGCTTTCTATCTTTTTATATATGCTTATTTATTTATTTTTACTATTTAGGTCCCTCAAGACCCACTGAAGTTTCATAAGAAGATTTACTTTTGCCATAGTTGCCAGCTCTATTTGCCTTCTACGGAGTTTGCCATATCATCTACCTCACAGCGCATATACCGCTGTCGTAACTGCGTTAACCTTGACAATGAGACACGACGACGAGAATCATTTTTGAAGTATAAATGTTTACTTAAAAGGCTCTACTATTCAGAAGCTGATTATGAAGATGATTCTAAAATTGCTTTCCTGATGAAGGTATGATCAGTAAGTGTTGCAGGTCAAGGATGAAATTTGTCCACTGATTTTTACAGAAATGATTCCTGGTTTTCCCACACAACCCTTTTAAAATAATGGTTTGTTTTTCTATGCTTACACTTTGTGAAGCTTACCCTTCTGGCAATTCTGAGTGTATATATGCAGATCTTCTGATAAAAAGTCATTTCAAGAATATTAGCTAATGCAATTTAAATTTAAAACTTCAAACAGCTATTTTACTCCCCTTTCTATTTTCTTTAAAACAAGTCTTTTTAATAACACTAAGCAAATTGCTTAATCTTTATTAAATCTCAATGTCCTCATTTGTAAAATGGGAATAAAATGACCTACAATAACCCTGAGAGTAAGATGATAGTTGCTAATAAATTTTGTAAAGTATATAGTACAATAAATGTAAGGTAACAATAGCATACTGGGTTAAAGATGCACCCATGGCTGAGACTGGTAATGCAGTTTAGGCAGAATGAGCAGAGATTTGGTGAAAAAATAAGCTATGTGCCACTGAAAACCTCACAAATAATGTTTTGCTTTTAAAAATAGTCTCAATAGAATTAATTATTTCCTCAAGCAATCTTAAGTAAGTTTTATATTGAGAATAAAACCTTACCTTTCAAACTTGTTTTGACATGCAGCTACAAGATATTCAATAATGTTAGAGTGGCTATTATCAAAAAGACAAAAGTTATTAAGAGGCAAGATAGAAAGGAATTCTTGTGCGCTGTTTGTGGAAATGTAAATTTGTACAGCCATTATGGAAAACAGTATGGAAGTCTCTCAAAAAATTAAAAATATAACTACCACATGATGCAGAGTTTCAAATTTTAAAAATTGATCATTTGAGCTAATCCAAATTTCTTGTTAAGATGAATGCAATAAAAATACTTGGTTTAGTGGCTTTTATTTATACATGTGACTCTAGCAATTGTCTGTAAAAATAATTAATGTAGCATAGCACCAAAATCTAAATTCTTCTTAAAAATAAGTGCCAGAGGACTTCAAAGGTTCTTACTATTTTGCTACCCAAAACTTCCACCTTATAAGTTTTTCTTCTGTCAATTACTTTTCTAGGTGATTTTACAACATGTTTCTAAGGGCTGATAAATAATATGAATTTGTAAATATTTTGGCAGGGTAAATGAATGCTGCCTGAAAGTTAAATTTTGTATAGAATAGGAAGTAAAGGGCAAAATATGACTTGAAAAATAATCAAGATTTTGTATCATTCTAAAATAAGTTAACCTACTCCTGTAGGTTAGTATTTGGCTTGGCTTTCTATCTTTTTATATATGCTTATTTATTTATTTTTACTATTTAGGTCCCTCAAGACCCATTGAAGTTTCATAAGAAGATTTACTTTTGCCATAGTTGCCAGCTCTATTTGCCTTCTACGGAGTTTGCCATATCATCTACCTCACAGCGCATATACCGCTGTCGTAACTGCATTAACCTTGACAATGAGACACGACGACGAGAATCATTTTTGAAGTATAAATGTTTACTTAAACGGCTCTACTATTCAGAAGCTGATTATGAAGATGATTCTAAAATTGCTTTCCTGATGAAGGTATGATCAGTAAGTGTTGCAGGTCAAGGATGAAATTTGTCCACTGATTTTTACAGAAATGATTCCTGGTTTTCCCACACAAACCTTTTAAAATAATGGTTTGTTTTTCTATGCTTACACTTTGTGAAGCTTGCCCTTCTGGCAATTCTGAGTGTATATATACAGATCTTCTGATAAAAAGTCATTTCAAGAATATTAGCTAATGCAATTTAAATTTAAAACTTCAAACAGCTATTTTACTCCCCTTTCTATTTTCTTTAAAATAAGTCTTTTTAATAACACTAAGCAAATTGCTTAATCTTTATTAAATCTCAATGTCCTCATTTGTAAAATGGCAATAAAATGACCTACAATTATAGTTGCTAATAATTTTGTAAAGTATATAGTACAATAAATGTAAGGTAAAAATAGCATACTGGGTTAAAGATGCACCCATGGCTGAGATTGGTAATGCAGTTTAGGCAGAATGAGCAGAGATTTGGTGAAAAAATAAGCTATGTGCCACTGAAAACCTCACAAATAATGTTTTGCTTTTAAAAATAGTCTCAATATAATTAAATTATTTCCTCAAGCAATCTTAAGTAAGTTTTATATTGAGAATAAAACCTTACCTTTCAAACTTGTTTTGACATGCAGCTACAAGATATTCAATACCTGACGGAGAACATCTGGGCATCCCAGTCAGTGCTTAGTGCCTGGAATGATCTCAGTGACCTGGTCATGGTCAGATGGGATAAGTCTCTGGAGTGGTCCCCCTGGAACTGCATTCTTCTTACCAAAGATGAAGGCATTGCTCATCTCAGGCTAACAAATGTTGAAGAGGTAAGAAAATTGAACTTCATTTGGGAAATTAATCATTAGGATTAGTAGAGAAACTTGACTGCCTCTTTTTACATTTTATACATAATTTAAGTACTTCCATTGGATTAAGAAACAGAGAAAACCTGTGAATAACATTAACAAAACATATGGACGGCATTTATGGCAGAGATTAAAATTAAAAAGAAGCTAAGACACATAAAAGGTAAATATAAGAGATCTGGGCATCTTACAAGTACCAAAACATGATAGATACCTCTCTCTCCTGATAAGAGCAAGTTCAAGCACATTAATTCCACAGTAAATTCCATGAGAGCTGAGATTTTGTTTAGCTTATTTGTTTCTATATCTCTTATACCTACCACAGTGCCTACCACACACTAGGGGTTTGATAAGTATTTGTTGAATGAATAAATGCATTTACCACCAGATAGGTATTATGGAACCCAGAATCTGTTTTCTGAGTTACCACAAGTCTGCCTAAAAGCATACTAAATTCTCAAATAAATTTTATTCATAATTTTGTGCTCTCAATGACAGTCATACTAATAGGTTCTGAATGGAGTCCTGAGAGTCCATTTTTCATTTGCTTCCAATTAAGAGTGGGAAAACCACTGTAAAAATTCAATACCATTTAATTTCAGGAATTTATAAGATGCAATCTGTAAAATATTTTGATAAACAGAATTGTCAGGACCCTGAAGAATTCTCAGAGAGCTCCACTTAACACTAAGTGGTCTGAGGATCCCAGGAGGTATTACTGATTCACTGCCTTCTATTGATTAAATTATAATCAATTAAATTGATTAAATCCATGTAAAATGTCAGTTAAGAGAACATAAAGAAATGACTTCAAGTATAATGGTCATTATGAATAATGCTATTCCCTGCTTTTGTTTCTGCTTGGGAGGGAGAAAGTTAAAAGAGGAGAAATTAGTTAAATTTTTAGCCTGTTTGAATGATTTTCTAGTAGAGCCAGGCTCAGAAAAGTTTTACTGCAGGGATTGGAAGAAAAGGAAACAAGAAATTGAAGCTGTGTTCAAGATTATAGTCAGTAAACTAAGCTGCCTCACAAATATTTAATCACTGGAAGCATAGCTCATATTAACAATATCATTTCATCTAGGACCCATAGTGGGATTGAAACTCATTCCCCAAACTGATATTTCACTGCTTCAATTAATCTACACAACTCCCTTTGTGTATTTAATCAAATTACTGCAGTATAAAATTAAATATTCACATGCATTTCTAATTTCAGGATGCTGATCTTTCTGAATTTGCATAAAAAGAGCTAAGGTTCTTAGCCAGGCAAACTAAAAAAAAAATTTTCCTTTTTATGATTTTGGACTGGCATTATCTTTTAAGTATTAATATTCAGCCTAGTTAAAGAATGGTTTATATCTTGCAGCAAGTTAAAGGATCTCCAAAATTGCCTTAATGCACAGAGATATTTGTTTTGTCAGTGAGTAAAAAAATACTCAAAAAAGTTAAAATAATCTTGACTCCCTGCTTTCATGACACAGTTATAGGCAAACCTGGGTGAAAAACTTCTGTTGTCTGAACTGTAAATGAAGTAGATGAGTTTTTCATGGAGTGCACATTGGTCAAAGTGGGAACAATAGTGGATTGAAAGTCAGGCAACCTGACCCAATATTTCTCCATTTCTGTCATTATCAATCTGCAGGACATTAAGACAGTACCCTCTTTGCTTCATAAATTTGTATGAATATTAGATAAAAACATGAAATCACTATAGAGGATAAGAGTAGCTCTAGCTTTGAATTCTGGCTGTTATGTATGAACTGGTAGAAGTTGGGCAAGTTTGTTAATGTCTCTGTGCCCTGGTTTTCTCATCTATAAAAAGTGGGTAATGTAAAAAAAGGGATAGTAGATATTGGATGTCTTTCCATATATTATTCCTTAAGAGCTACTATTGTTCCTGTGATTGTATGTACCATAATATATTTTTCTCAACTTAAATGATTATATTTTGGTTCTATAAAGGCACTTTGAAAACCTGTAAAGCTCTGTATTTGTATAATTTAATGTTGCATAAGAGAAATGTACTCATTTTCCTTGAATGAAATAAGAGCTAAGGAGTGGTGAGACAAACATTAGCACAAAGGACAAGAATTTTGACCTGGTAAATTTGTCTGTAGAGTAGAACTTTTAAGCCTAGGATATTCCTACATAATATTTTCTGCTATGATATCATATTCTTTGGTTCCTTTTCTCCCTGGATTTCTTTACTTTTGATTTGACATTTTGGAGAGAACTTTAGTAAGGGGATGTCTTACTTAAAACAAATTTTAGGAGCAAGTATAAGTAGTATTCACAATTTGGTTGAAAAGAAGGATCAATAAAGATAAGAACTTTTAAGCCTAGGATATTCCTACATAATATTTTCTGCTATGATATCATATTCTTTGGTTCCTTTTCTCCCTGGATTTCTTTACTTTTGATTTGACATTTTGGAGAGAACTTTAGTAAGGGGATGTCTTACTTAAAACAAATTTTAGGAGCAAGTATAAGTAGTATTCACAATTTGGTTGAAAAGAAGGATCAATAAAGATTAATAAAGAGAATAGATGGTATTTATTAATTCAATCAGAATTTTAGTTTGAAGGTACCAGATACTGTTCTAAGTGCTTGGGGATAAAATGAGGAAATGGACACAATTCTTCATTGTTTCAGTTGCATTTAAGTTAAGCAATTTATAACTTAATCAAATGTAGTGTTAGTTTTGTTATGTAACAGTAAGTGCAAAGGTTGGTGGTCTAGGGCTCATGTGGACAGAAACTGAGGCCCTCTAACTTTTTCCTCAGTTGTATTTAATCTTTGACTCTCATTCTCATGCATTTTATCCACTTCCCAGGAATGACAAAGCCTAAAGGTTTGCCAGGTTGAGTCTCCCCACTTTTAAAAAGCTTGCCTGAAAGCTTTATCCAGTGACTTCCATTATATGTATGTATGAATAATGGCCAGAGACTTGTCACATGGCCACCCATAACTGGAATCAAGGCTAGGGAAACTGAGTGCCTCACAAAATATAAAATCATGCCCCTATACAAAATCAGGCCTCTCAATACAAATGGAAGAGAGAATGAATATTGGGTTAGCAACCAGCAGTCTGCTACTCTCATCAGAAAACAGATTGTGTTATAATATGGCAATGTTACATAACAGATAAAGTTCAAAGTAGACGTTGATTAATTAAAAATTAAGAACAAATAAAAATGGAAAGGCAGAAAGAGTTAATAAAGACAGGAAGGTTTTCTGTTTAGAAGACATAAGAGAAATAGAGCCAGGGACTCATAAGGTGGGAACATAAGGTAGTAAAAAAGGTGACCAAAGAGAAGTATACATTGTCACAACACTAGTGTGGTCTTTACTTTGAACTCTGGAGATAATTTCAGAACTCCGTACATCTTAGGAAAAAAAAATTCAAGTTGGTAATTGTATCAGTGTTGAAATAGACTTAAAAAGAGAGAACGAACATGATAAGTGCATACATTGAAAAATAATGAGGCTATATCTTACGGTGCCAAGAGACGCATATATGAAAAAGCCTGACTGAACATTCAAGGAGTTTTCCTTATCACGCAAGAGATTCTCAAGCACAAGTAAAATTCAAGGCAGAATGAACTAAATACTACAATTAAAATACATAAGAGTGCTTGCAAGTATGGAGGAAGGGGGGATTTGTTTGAACTCTGGTCAGAGGAAGAATCAGGAAAGGCTTCAGGTTAAAGCAACATAAAAGCTGAGCCCTCGAAGATAATAGTCAATGTGGGAAAAAGTGTATGCTAGGATGAAAGAACTGATAAGCAAAGGCACTGAGGCAGGAAACTGTTCTTACTTGGCAAAATATATCTGTGACATTTAATAGAATTTGATTTTCTTTTCTTTTCAGGCATATGAACCCTTGTTTATTCACAAGATCAAACACAAACATATCCTGGCTAAGAACTATTTTTCTCAGATCCCAGTGCTGGCTTCATTTATACTTGATGATGGTGAAATAGATGAGATCAGAAAGAAATATCATACAGAAACACCACCTAAGATTATAGAGTCCCTGATGCCCAGTCTTTAGAAGATCCAGGAGTATTTGTTCAACAATGAGTATTTCTGTCCACAGAGCTCACACAACATGGAAATAGAATTTTATTTTTTTATTGGTTTCAATTGTTTTTGTTCTTAAAGCATTATAAGCTGTATGAAGAGAAAACTGATTAGACAATTAGTCTTAAATTGAAATGGTTTTATTCCTGAAATTAATATTTTAAGGTAGAAAGATTTTCTTTTCTTATTTTTCATATTAAATTTTTTCAGAAATTTTAGTGCATCATAGTTAAAACCAACAAACAAAAGCTAGGCTTAACTCTCAACTCATTTTAGATAAAATGTAGTTATAGGAGAATAGTAAGTATATCATGGGAGGAAACAATTTTAATTTCTTGAAAATCTTTACAGATTGGATAAAAGATGCTATGTTTTAATAAGAGGATTTGAATCTTCACTTTTTATCTTCTACTTTCACCTTTCATCCTTCTCAAAATTCCAGTAGAACAACTGAAACAATTATAAACAAACAAAAAGTATATTCTATGCCTGAAAATATAGTAAACAGTGGAACTATCTTTTATCCTATGGAAGAAAAACTCCTAATGGGGCAATGGGGGAAGTATAGGAAGTGGTCAAGTAAACTGTAATACTCCCTTTCATCAGCAAGCCAAAGGAATAACCTTGACCACATGCATGTCAGGGATTTACAATGATGAACAAGGGTATGTGAATCAGTCTTAAACAGGAAACTGATGGCACACTCAAAATAGGAAAATTCAAAGAGGGTTTATTTACAAAGGGACTTATTATAAAGTGTGGCCAGTGTGTAGGGAGCCGGAGGAATAGTGCAGGAACCCAGGGCCAGTGTTCACTAAGCTGTCTGTACAGTAGTCTCAAATGAACCTAGGGAGCGAGAGGTCTGGGAAACTGGGAACCCAGAGACTATAAAGAAGATAATTAAGAGGATCAGTGACCAACTGTCAGGAGAACAGCCAGTCCTTGTTGATCTCATGACTAGGGAAGTAAGTACTCTGAGCTCATACTTCTCCCTTCCTCCGGTCTCCTGCTTGTGTTTCCCACTGACAGAACCCAAAAGGAAAGCAGAAGTCTGCTGGCATAATTCATGCAGCTGCAGGTCCAAGAGTGGAGTAGATAAGGGGCAAAGTGGAGCTGGATACCTAACTAGAGAGAAAGAATTAAAAGTGAATATCTGCAACTCAAGTAGCACTATTTCATACACACACACACATGCAACATAATTAGATATAAATGTAAATGCTATATAAGATATATATTATATAACACAAATGCTGTATATAAGATTGTAGACAAGGGGGTTGGGGAGAATTTTTCTCCTAATTCCAGTCAGCAATTAATGAGGCTGTTCTCCCAAGTTTAGTCATCAAAAGAATTCAATCTAACTACTAATATTTGTTATTCATAAATATTTACCAGCATTTTAGCAACAGATATTCTAGTATGTCTACAGTTTTTTTATTTAGCAAGAGCAATTGCTTTTAAGGAACTAAACATCAAGGAGGGAAGTGCTATAATTCTGTTAGTTTCAAGGTTTCAAGAACAGTTCAGACATTCAGAAACTTACTAAACAATAAATTTGAGCTGGAATTAGATCGGAGGCCATTCCAGTCACTGAGAAACAGGTAACAATTTAGCACAGACAAAAGTGGGTTTAAATTGGGATGTAAACAACCATATTTTCACAAGATGGTTCAGGATAATGCTCTGTCTTCAGACAAGTATGGGCTGGGGAGGCAGGCAGTGAGGGGGGAATAATCCCAGGGCAAATAAAGGACTTCGGGAATTCTCCTTTTGCCCTAAGGGTGAGACAACTGACTAGACGGGCATTTGCTTATAATAGTGGAAGACTTGTAGAATACAACTGTGAGGGGTGGGCCAACCAGAGCAATTGATTCCTGGATGAAAGGGTCAGTGCCTTAATTTAGGGCTGGGAGAATCACCAGAAAGAGGGAAAAGGCATCTCAACAGCAGAGAGGCTTTCCCTAATAAACTCAATTTTCTGGTAAACTTTCCATCCATTTGTAACTACAGTTCCTGTTTTACACTGGTATCCAAAACTCTATAGCAGAGAAGGCTAGACTTGGAGTTGTGTCGGGCTAGAGAGCAGTCAATGGGGTGTCAGGTTGCAGCCTACAAGAATCCTAACTCCAGGTTACTGTAAAGCAGCAACTAGTTAAGCAGTTAAGTTCCCCTGTCTTCGTAGGACCTGCATGCCTCTAATTTATGACCTGATGAACATACTTCCCCTGGCCCACTAAGAAATGAAAACCTATTCCTTTCTTTCTACTTTATGAGGACTTATATTATATCATATCGTATCATATTATATGGATAGAGGCCAAAGAAATATTATAGAACAAAATTTTATATTCCCAAATTGCAAAAACAGGCTGATCAAGAACAGTCTCCAAATATGTAAAAATTCAAAAATCAAAAAGGGACCCTTCTGAGGAATTCTTATATATATATACACACACACACACACATATATATATATACACACACACACATATATATATATACACACACACAAATAAGATAGCACTTTTCATCCTTTGGAGGAAAAACAATACCAGGACAATTGCTTTTAGTAAAATAAACAGTTGCTGAATTACTAAAGTACAGCAAGCACATTGGTGGCACTGAGCAGCAAATTTAATACCTGAAAGTAAAGCTTAAACAGAAATTTGGTGGATTACCTCAAGATAGTCCCCTAGAATCAGAGGAAAAGGACAAAGAGATGAGGATGATGTAGAAAAATAGTAAGTTTAAAGACTTTGCTCTGTCTACCTGAGAAGTAGCATAAACCTAGAATGGAGTAGAAAAAGAGAAACAAATAGAAAAGAAAGAGTTAAAGCTAATTTCCCTAAGTTAAAAAGATAGAATATTTCACTGTATAAAAAGTCTACCAAGTACTGGGAACATTAATATAGAGACACATATAACACAGCTTTTGTGGCATATCTGAATTTCAGGAATATTGGACAAGTTTTATAAGCATTCAAGTTGGAGGAAAAGAGCCACAAGAAAAAAAATGGCATAGATCTCTTCTCCAAAACTAAATGCCAGAAGATAAGGAAGGAACATTTCTATTGAAGGATTTTGGAGTTTGAGGGTAAAAAAATGACCTAAGAATTTTATTTCCAGACAAAGTTCTTGTGTGTAAAGACAACAGGAAGACGTTAGGCAGAATATCATCAGTCTGTGTACCCATTCTGTGCTCCAGCTGGCTCAGAACCGTGGAGGGAGGGCATGGGCGTGATACTGTCCAGGAGAGGTGGCAGTAAGCACTCCAGCCTCAAGGCCCTCATGATTTGTATGGTTATGAGGCAACAGAATGAACAAAAATAATTCCTCGAAGTCTGTAACTACAAAAACAGGCAAACAAAAAACCTGAAAGGGATAATATGAATCTATGAAAAACAATGCCCTGACTATTCCAATAAAATGTTGCTGGAGGAGAGTTCAGAGGGAAAAAGGGCTCCACATTTTTAAGGAAAGAATGGTCATCAGATATGTAGGGAGGAAAGTAGATATTCCAATATCTCGTTGATATACCTAAAGGCAATCACTAGCAGAATGACATGAAATGATAAATTCCACATTTCTAGAAGAAAAGGAGAATCAACAATGAACTTGAAACCATTGTGAAATAAAAGATTTTTGTTTTTTATTTTTTACGGTTGACAGGAAGTACTTGGACGACAAAAACAAGATAAAAAATACCATAGTGCATAAATCTGCATAGGTTAAAATTAGCTAGTAAAGGATAGTTATATTGTATTAAAGAGTGGACTGTATTCTGTGGACTGAATATAGGCCCCAAATGAAATGACACGTGAAGGTTAAAAATAAAGGTATTTAGTAGAGCTATCAATCATATGCAAACAGATAACAACAAAACAATTGGAGGCAATATTAATATCAAGGATGAAATTAAGAAAAATAGCAGAGCAAAAGAAGTTACTTTATCTTATGTTACATACCAAAGTAGGTTTAAGAATAATGTCAGCTGGGAACAATTCCCCATAGACTTCTCATGTTTCTGTGTGTCTTTAAAGCAGAGGCACCCATTCTCCTTTTGTACACACTTATTTTCAAGGATATTTATATAGCAAGCAGTCTTGGAAGATACAGTGTTTACCATTCCTGTAAGAGATTCAATTTCTAAGCTGGGTTCCTATCCTGTAAAGAAGCTCACTGCGTATGTATTATGTCATCTGGGCTTTGTGTCACTCTGAGGGAATTAGGGCAAAATGCTGATATTCTGCTATTCCTGTGAACAATAAACTGTGCTTTATTTCTGACCTAGTAGTCTCCTGTCTGCTACACTCATTTATGAAACTGGCTGGCAAACTTCTTAGCTTGTGACAAGGATAGCATCTTTTAGAATTAGGTTTAAATCAGGTTATACTACATAACGTACATAAAAAATGATCACTTTTCATCCCTTTAACCTTGGACTCAATGGCTTTATAGGTCTTACTACAGGAGGGAGAAATTCCTCCGAGCACAGTAGTATTTCAACTGAATTGGAACTTTAGACTCAAAGCAATTCTTCAGAAAGTCCAAATGGTCAACTAAGTGTGTCTTCCTAAGTAAACAAATCATAATTTCCACTTTCTACAGGTTGAGAGCTACAAATATCTGGTTTAGAAAGAAAATTTTCCACATTTTTTGTTATAATATTGTTTTATTCTTATCATATCTCACAAGTAAGAAGCCCTGGCAACTTCAAGTGATATTCTAAGTAGTATGCCATAGTGCTCTATTAGATGCAATATCATGCTTTATGGAAATAATATTGTTTTATGGGAATAAGGTATTTTTATTCTATAATGGGCCTTGTAAAACATATTTTGGACTCTAAAACTAACACAAATTTTGTAGAACAGTAGTATGTGTTTAAAAATAAAACTTGTTAGAGGGAGAACTGAAAAAGTTTAGTAAAAAAAATAATGTATTGGAAGTTCATGGCTTGAGAAGAATGTATATTCTGTTGGTTGATGTAGACCATAGATGTCCATTATATCCAGGTGATTGATGGTGTCCATATATGAGTTCAACTATGTCCTTACTGACTTTCTGCCTGATGGATCTACCCATTTCTGATAAAGGGATGTTGAAATCCTCAACCGTAGCAAGCTAATCCTAATTCCTCCCTCCCATCCCTTGTATCATTGCTGTCATTCATTTCATTTGTATTTAAGCATGTGCACACACACACAATTGAATACACTGTTGCTATTATTATTTATGAACACACTGTTACCTGTTAGCTCAATTAGGAATACTGCTCCAATAGGTTGTGATTATCTGTGTTTGCCTGTCATTCTCTCCAATATTGGGAGCAGCGGTTTGTCCTGTGTCTTCACTTCTCTTGTCTAAGAAGAGTTGATTTTTCTGTTTGTTCAGGTTTTATTTGTTAGGACAGAGTGGGGACTTCTAAGTTTTTACATGCTGGACTAGAAACCAGAATTCCCCTGTATGTGCTTTGCTTAGAGAAAATTCTGATAATCCTTTTACTAACTTAATTACTGCAGATTTGTAAAACCATTTCTTTTTATACAACATCTAATACACATAAAAATAGACTGAAATGTTATCAATGAATGTCAATACACCTATATTCAATTTTCAGTTTAATGATTCAGGAGGAAGTATTTCCATTACAGTTTCCATAAATGTTATGCATATGTATAATCAGGAAAGGAAAATACATACTAAACTATGAAACTCTCAAATATGAAATTTGTGAAGACAGTTAATGTCTGCTTTTCACAGCATCTTGTGGGCAGCTGTTACAAGTTGTTTGTGAAACATAAACTGAATTTCTTCCCTTCTATATACAATGTATAATTAAATTGGAGTCTCAGTAAATACATACTAAGAATGATTGTTCTCAGATTCTGGCATTTTTATTTTTATATCGTGTTGAAACTGAACTTCAGAGCATATCAAAACTGAATTCAGTGTTTAATCATTGCTGATCAAGTGACTTGGTATGAAAATGAATATAGGGAACACAGAAGCAAACTGATGCTGAACAGAATATGAAAATTTTTCACAAGTCAGAAGTCTGCATTTTTCTGACTCTCCAACAAAGTAATATACTGGAGTTTGGTATCTCATGTCAGTACTGGATTTATGAATTGAATTATGTACAAGAACAAGAAATGAATGACTGAGGTTGGGTTATTTTTTCCTAATAGCTCTTCAAATTATTTTATCTGTACTTACAAGCCTATCCTTTGATAATATTCATTTTCATATGCTGGATATTCTCCCTGGTTTTCTTCTCTCCCTTCTCTCCCCTCCTCTTACTTACTCTAATCCTACATATTTTTCAAGGTCAGTCCAACTTCATTCATTCATTTACTCATCTATTCAACACATGTATCTTGAGTTTAATATGGTCTAGGAATTATGCCTTGGTGCCACAATGTTAAGTAAAATACTATCCATGCCCACAAGGAACTCATGTAGACAGACAGACAAATACTTGGAGTCTTTCTGTGCCTTCTCTTTATATAAAGTAAGGTTGGCAATACTTCAGCTGCAAGACTCTTAAGAATCTGGGTGTATATGTAAAACATATGGGACATAGGGAGTATTAAATATTTGTTAAATGAAGGATTAATGTTTGCTTGCTTTATATGTTTTTAAGACAGCATAATTTTCTGCCTTTAATTATTTCATATGCAGTGTGTTGGTGGAAGACATGCATAATTAGGTTTACCCTCCAATGACTGGTTATTTTCTTAGTGGCCTATGTGGTTAACTGGAATAGTGGCATAGTGCTGTGGGTATTTGCCCAACAGCCATTGTATCCCAGTTTGACCAAGAGTCATCCCTAGTCCTTACTATTTCCTTTTATGCAAAAGAGTCAGAGCTCTGCTTTCAAGAGGTGAATGTTTCAGGTATTTAAAGTGTGAACAGCTACTGCTGATACTTTGCAGCTATGGATTTTACAAGTGCTCAAGAGGTTATTATGAACTTTCTGTGACACGTCCTCACGAACTTCCCCATCTTCTCAAGAGCTTTATCTGCAAATTATTTTTGCCAGTCTCTCTCCTGCACTCAGTTTAGCTTCCTATTAATGCTTGTGTTTGCCAGCTTCCATTGGTCTTCCTAACCTGTAGTTATCTTTCCCAAATTAGAGGCAGCTGGGCAATTTTAGGAAGACAACAACTTACTAATTCTCTCTTTTCTAATTGTTATTCTTTCAAACTTGAGACTGATTTGGCTTTGAAACAAAGAACTGTATGTGGTCTGAAACTTTTAAAGCTTCATTATTTTACAAATATTCTCTTAACAAAGTGAAAGTTTAAAAAATACCAATTATTAAAATAAAAAGTATTATGTACATTGTGATATCTCTATTCTCCTTACTTGTTTTTAAGTTGATATGAATAAAACCAACTGGAGTCAGCCTCCCATTGTGAGTAAGAAACTATTTAATTTCTATTATGCACAGCAAGTAGCAAGAAAAGACCCTTGAGTTGAAAAAGAATTTTTTAATTGCTTTCAGATAAAGAATTCTTATTTGCTAAACAGAATCCCCAGCTGTTTTATATTGACAATGTATTTATCTAATTGTTTTCTTTGGAGAAAATTGCAGAGATATTCACTATTTTTAGAACAAATTTAATGTCTGTTGTTTTTTTCCCAGCTTTTTAATTACATCATTATTTGACCTAAGTAATTTTGATCTGCCTTTTAAGCCATCTTTTCCTTGTGAATAATGCTAATGGAGAAACTTACATAAGCCAGAATGCCACATGCTGGTCAGACTCTGTCCATGAGGAATGGAAATGCAGAGTGGGAAAGTGGCCTTGGGTATATGACAAATCATAACGGTACTTTGTCTTAAAAACATCAATGCACAGTAAAAATGCTATGATAAGAAATAGCAAAAATAGTCGTTCTTTTAAGAAAAGCTGTATTTTACAAGACATAAATTTGACAACCTATGACTCAAAAAAGGATTCCAAATCTCCCAATATACTTATAGTTGCAGTTTTTGTTTGCAGTGGTTGAAGCATACATCGTTTATTTTTATTGCATCATTTTATTATTGAGGTAAATTTTGTAAACAGTGAAATATAGATCCTAAATATATACTGAATGGATTTTGAAAAATGTGTGCACCTGTAAAACCAGTGTGACAAGTTACAGAGCATTTATATACCTCATAAAGTACTTTTGTGGCCCTGTACCGCTGATGTCTACCCACCATAGACAATTGCCATTCTGATTTCAATCATCAAAGATTAGCATTGCTAGTTCTTGAGTTTTATACAGGCTCTTTTGTGCCTGGATTCTGTTGCTCAATAGAATATTTTCAAGATTCACTGATGTTTTTGAATACATCAACAGTTTGTTGATATTTATTGTTGAGTGATATTTTATTTGGATTATTCCTGGGGTTTTTTTTGTTCTTATTTGTTTTGGCTATTACAGATAAGCTGCAGTGGACTTTATTTTATCCAGACTTTTTTCTGGACATATGCTTTCATTTCTATGGAGTAAATATCTAGAAGTAAAATTGTTAATTATAGGATAGGTGTTTCTTTAACTTCAGCAGGAAGTGCTAAAGTTTTCCAAAATGGGTTGTATTATCTTACACTTCTACCAATAATGTATAAGAATTTTACTTGCTCTGCATCTTCACCATCAGTTGGTAATGTAGGCCTTTTTGTCATTTTAGTGAATGTAAGGTGGCATTACACTGTAGCTTTAATTTTGTATTTCTCTGATGACGAATGATTTTGAGCAACTTGTCATGTTCATATTGGTCTTTTTTATGCAATCCATTGAAATGTGTTTAAGTGTTTTACCCATACTTAAATTGGGCCGTTTATCTTATTGTTTAGGTGTAGGTGTTCTTTATATATTCTAGATACATATCCTTTCTCTGATACATGTATTGTATTCACATGTATTGTGGATATTTTCTCCCACTCTCTGGCTCTCTGTTTAATTTTGTTACTCATGTCTTTTCATAAGTGGCAGTTTTTAACTTATTAAAAGTACAATTAATCAACTATTTCTTTGGCAATCAGTACTTTCATAACCTCTCTAAAAAAAGTTTGCCTTTCCCAAAATTGAGCAGATATTGTTTTCTTCTACTTGCTTTGTAATTTTAGTTTTACATTTAGGTCCTTGATCCATCTTGAATTTATATCTGTATATTATGTGAGATAGGGATTGATTAAAGTTTCTGTTTTTAATAGCACTATTTGTTGCAAAGAACTTCCTTTCTTCTTTTATTAGTACTGTGATTTTCTCTGTTGTTTG